GAAGAGGAATTTGATGCCTTGCACCTCAGGGGTCTTCAGGAGAGTGTCTGGGGGCGAGGGGAGAAAGGGGGTTGGAGGGGAGGTCGCAGAGATGAGAGCTCCGAGGGATAGGGGTGTCCCAGGAGTGAGGGGAAGGTCCCAGGAATAGGGGGAATTCCAGTGATGGAGGGTTCCCAGGGACAGGGGGAGCTTCCAGAGACATAGGTGTTCACTGGGACAGGGGAAGTCCCAGGGTTGGGGGTCGTCACAGGAACAGGGGAGGGGCTCAGGGACTGGAGGGCTCCCAGGGATGGGGGAGGTCCCAGGGACAGGGTGGTCCCAAGCATAGAGGGGTCCCAGGGATGGAGGGCTCTCAGGGACAGGGGGGCTTCCAGGGACATGGGTGGTTATAGGGTCAGGGGAGGTCCCAGGGATGGGGATGTTGGCAGGGACAGGGAGGCTCCCAGGCATAGGGATTTCACAGGGATGGCATGGGTCCCAAGGATAGGGGACATCCCAGGGATAGGGGAGGGTTGCAGGGATCGGGGTATCACAGGGATGGGGGGGGGTCACTGGGACAGGGGTGGTCCTAGGGATGGAGGGCTCCAAGGGCCAAGGGGGAGGCTCCAGGGACAGGAGGGCTCCTAAAGACAGGTGTTGTCCTAGGGGTAGGATTGTCCCAGGGCTGGGGGTCCCAGCAGCAGGATTGGTGTCGGACAATCCAAAGCAAGGGGGGTTTCCAGGAAGACAGGTGGTCCCAGGGACAGGTGTAGCCCAAGGGATGGGGCCTCCAGGAATGAGGGTGGTCCCAGAGACAGAAGGGCTCCCAGGGACAGGGTGGGTCACAGGGACATGGGTGGTCCCAGGCACAGTGGGGCTCTCAGGGAAGGGGGTGGTCCCCAGGCTGGGGGTCCCATGGTAGGACTCACCGATGTGCTGGATGATATGGGTGATGGTGGGCTGAAAGAGCTCACTCATGGCCTCGGGAGACATCCTCAGCATTCCCTGGGAGGACCACTTCACCAGGGTGACACTGCCGGGGGACAGCAGGGGCAGGTTTAGGGGGGCCCTCACCAGGGACCCTGCCTGCTCCTGCCTTGGCTGCACCCCTGTATCCCTCTGTCACCCCAACCCAGCTCTCCTGTCCCACCTGAAGCCCCCTAACTCAGCACTCCCATCCCACCTGAGCCCCTGTCCTGCCTGAACCACCCATTGCCTCCCTTCCTCCCATCCCACCTCCTCCTCCCTTCTCCCCCTCTCCAGTTCTCCCCCCTCCATATCTGCAGGACCTCCCAATGTATCCCCCAGCCCCTAACCCTCCCAAGCCTTCTCCCACCTCCACGGGGTTCTCACTTGCTCTTCCTGAGTGCTGTCTCCACACCATGGCCACGGTGCCTGCGGTAGAAGTCGATGAAGGAGAAGGGGAGGGAGATGTTGAGGGGGTTGGCCCGGTTGGGGGACGCGGCGCGTTTCCGCGCCTCGAAGGCGATGCTCAGGTCCACCCAGGCCGCAGGACGTTTGGCCTTGAAGGTGGCGATGAAATCCTCCCCGAAGATGTGGCACAGAAGCTTCTCAAAGGCCAAGTCCACCCCCACAGCACCATAGGGACCCCCTGAGGGGCAGGGTAGAGGGGTGAGAGCTCAGGTGGTGGTGCTGTGGTGATATGTCCCTGTGGTACACATGCCCCAGCACTGTGTCCCGATGGCACCCATGTCACTCGTGTCCCCCATCACCAAGTCCCCTTGTCCCCCACAATCACAGGGCACATATGTCCCCAGGACACCCATGTCCCCTATCACCATGTCCCTGTGGCACCCACATCCTCATGGCAGCCATTCCCCAAGTTCCCCGTCACCACATCCCTGTGGTACCCATGGCACCCATCCCCTTGTGTCCATGGCACCCACATCCCTATTGCACTCATGTTTCTCACATCCCCAAGTTCCCCATCACCATGACTCCCACCACCACACCCCTGTGGCACCCACGTCCCCATGTTCCCCGTGTCCCCATGTTCCTCAGCTCCACGTTCCCGTGGCACCCATCACCATTTTCCCCCATATCCCATGGCACCAATGTCCCTCATCACCATGTCCTCATGGCACCCATGTCCCCCATCATCATGTCCCCAAGTCCCTGGTCACCACGTCTCCCATCAGAATATCCTCATGTCCTCCACATACCCATGTTCTCATGACACCCATCACCATGTCCTCAGCATCATGTCCCCCACGTCCGCATGACACTTATGTCCCCCATCCCTATGTCCCCACGTCCTCCTGTCCCCGCTTGTCCTCCCTCCACAGTTCCCTCTGTGTTCCACCAGGTGGTGCCATAGCCCCAGCCACGACCCTCAGAGACAGGCGGGACCGAGGGGAACCCAGAAGGGTCCCGGGTGGGCTGGGGGTGTTGAGGTTGGGGAAAGCAGCTCACCGGAAGCTTTGTAGAGCTCCTTCAGGGTCCCCTGAGGCTTCTCGATCTGGTGCACAGTGAGGTCCACGGTGCCCCCCCCCCAGTCTGCCACGATGTACTTGTCACCTGCGAGGGGGGCACAGCGGCCACGTGGGGGTCCTGGACCGCGGGGACAGTATGGGGGAGCTCTGGGGACCTGGGGGGGCTCTGGGAGGCTCTGGGAACC